TGTGTTTTTTAGGGCAAGAATGGAGAAAATCTCGCTGGCGATGGAAGAATGTCAGCAAAGATGGATCGAAATCGAATCACTTTGCGGTTTTCCACTCATGCTTCAATCGAACGGTGCCGGTAAGTGCTTACAGTAATCATTTTTCAGATAAACTCTATACAGCGTTTTGTCTGATCCAATCAAAACGCTCATTTTACCGTAATTTTTGTTTGAATATCCGTGATACTCGTGAAAATTAAAAATAATGCAAACTGCCATTGTACGCATAATATCTATGGTATAAATGAACGCGTATCATAACAATAAAAGAAGAATAGTTTTAAGATATTTAGAAAGCAAGACATACCCTGCTGGTTAGTTACGTTTGTTGAATTATAACTGTTCTGGTCTCCTCGCAAAAAATTTATTAATATGATCTCCCTGCTTGATATGTGATTCAGATAGAAACCTTCTTAAGAGCGATATCTGATAATACGCATCTCGAAACCGCAAACAACCATTCAGTGATATNGTGATTGATTGGTGGCATGCTTTTTTTTGTAGTTTTTCTTCTACATTCACCATTTTCCACCTGTTCCGCCTGCATTGATAAGCCATTTTGGGCATTTGCACAAGTTTCAGAGTTGAACTTTATGGGACACCATCAACTGAACTGTCCATCAAATAGCAACAGTACTCTGAACACGACCACACCTACGTCATCAGTAGTCTATCAACAGCACCTACCAAGAGCTTCATCATCAATTCTCTGTCAGCCAACTGCTGTCAACAATTCGGGAGCAGCTTCGTTTTATCGTAACACAGGTATCTGCCCTCGTAGTACTCACACTTCTACCCTAAGCCATCTAACTCCTACGGATGCAAATGTGTTAAGTTCACAAAATCTCACAATAGCAACAACAAAAGCAACAAGAACAGCTAATTATCAGTGTAATCATTCTTCGTATTACTCCATTTCCCTAAGCGAATCACAAACACATTCAAAATCTCCATCAAATCAACGCATCTCATCAACGCCTTGTATATCAGTTTCATCTGATTCGTTATCGTTATCAAGCATGATACCATCGTCAATTTTATGTTCTTACCCTTTTGTTGCTTTCAATACCACACAATCATCACGTTCTTCTTCCGCATATCGTCCCACCACCACCCTCACGCTATTCAAGCCACTTCCGAACCCATTGACACTCAGAACCATTGCACTTCTAGATTCTGCAACACTGCAATCGACTCGACTCCGCAAACGTCCATCTCCGATTTTCTTTCTAACTTCACCCGCAGTCGCCGCCGTCCCATCACAACTGACATCACATCACTCTTCATCGCGATCAGTATCGAGTAGCAGTGATGATGCTGAACTGTGATTAAATGACATATAAACTGACTCGTGGCACTTGACCTCTGCTCATAGCTTATGGTCATATCTGTCTGTATCTATGGGGAAAAAGCAAGTATTCCTGCAAAGAACAGAAATCAATCGGTTTGAGGATGGGATTAAGTAAGAAACTGACGAGACTGAAGAGGCTGGTTCCCACTGGGCGAATTGCGCACACCCCCGGGGAAGTCTTGTTTACGAGTTCAGTTGCTAGACTATGTTATGGTGGCTCAACATTAAATGTTGGGGCAAGTATATTATTACACAAAATTCTCGACATCATTATTACATGCTAAATTTCATCTACGAAGAAAACAAATCACCACTTATCATTGACGTACTGATGTAGTGTTCTGATCATTAAAGTCAAAAATTTGAATCAAATTTTAAAAAATGAGTTAGAATTATATTTTGTGAATATTCAAACTCGGATAAATCTTAATATGGTTATCAAAATTTGCCCATTGTCAGATATATTCTCACTAAAAAATTAAGACGATCGTTTTCGTCACCTGTGTTGCACTGATTTTATCATCGACTTTGCAGAAGACTGAAAGCAGCTT